TGTGGACCTTACCTCCGGGTGGAGTTGGATGAGTGCGATCTTGACCATTTTGGGTTCTGGTCGTTTTATCCTGTCAAGTTGTGTGTGTATGGATGAGTTGCGATTGTTTGGGGTTGATAGTGCTGTACGCTCCTGATGGCGTTTTATAGGCGCGTGGATTCCGCGCGGGATTCTAGATCGCCGAAGACGTATGTAACCCTATCCTTGCGCCGAGGGTTTCGCATGAACCTTGATTGTTGGCGGAGATGATGTTACTTGTTGCCTGCTCCGAGGTTGTATTAGAATTTAGGGTTGTCTGGGGTCCGCGGAACCCCGGAACTGTCTGGTGGAGTCGTTCCGGGCGTATCTATTAACAAGATGAGGAAGGATTGGTCTTGGCTGGCGAATTTGTTGATTAGATGGCTGAAAGTTATTAACTAACTATACTTTATACGAAGGTTCTATGGCTAGGAGTAAAGTCTGGAATGTTGATGTTTGTGATAATTCAATATGCTGACTACGGTGGAGTATATGATACGGAAGCGAGAGCAAATGTGGATCGAATGTGATAGCTCACGCTAGAATCAACAATCAATTCCTGAGATCCATCTGGCGTTCGGCATAGTATCGATATCTCTTCGCCGTCATCACCCGGAATCTCTTTCCAAAGTAGATGAAGACCAGATTTCCCGACAGGATTACGGTGAGGATAAGGCCGAAGGTTATGTAAAAGCCCGTCAGCCCGACACTCGCGATCCACGGTGTCAGAGCGAAGACGAAGATCGTCGAGATGAGGTTGCGGATGAAGGTGACTCCGACGAGAGAGTCGGCGATTACCTGTTAAACAGCATCTGGTTAGCACGCCCAATAGTAAATGGTCACATGTGTTATAAACTTACATCTGTATATGCATCTGTCAGATACGTCAAGGCGACGCTGTTAGCCGGAATAGTTCCGAAGATGGCGATGCCCAATCCAACGGCCACCAGCGGCCAAGGGGATCCGTTGTTGAGTCCAATGCCGAACATGAAGAGACCGGCCGGCACGAATGGTATGAACGCAACTGCAATCCAGAGTCTCATTTCGGGCTCGAAAACGCCTCGGTTTCTTTTCGCTAGATATAACACAAGCGAATCGCTGAGTCGCCCGGATATCAGAACTGCAATGCTGGTACCAATGAAGGGAGGAAGCCCCATGAGGCCTATTTGCGAGGCGTTGAAATTGTAAGGTGGCTGGGTCATGTACGAGGAGAGAGTAGTCACCGAGACAGTGACGGCGGCTGTCATGGCCCCGTAAACGACGGACATGAAAAAAATGGCGGGAACAGTAAAGAGAAGAATAAAAGGCTCAATGCTGTGTCGGGCCATGCTGGCAAATGACCCCGAGGATATTGACCATAAGGCGAGCTTTTTCCAGTATGGCTTCGTTGGGATTGAATGATCGATCCAGTGAGTCGCATGAGACCTTTGAATCTCTCTTTCTTTATGTGTTATGTTGGCCTCGATTTCCGGGTCGGTCGGAGACTTCTTGTCCTCACCTTCGGGAGATGAATTTAATTGAGTGGGAGCAACAACGGGTGGAACACCCTCAAGGGTCAGAGAGAATTTCGTTTCCTCGTAAAGGAAGATAAAGGCAACAAGACCGGCACCCATCAGAATAACCATCCACCACCAGACCCAGCGCCAGCCTTGCGAGGTAACAATATACCCACCTGCCAGTGGGGACAGCGTAGCCCCGACCGTCATAAACCAGACATAAATACTGTTCATAAGTCCGCGTTGATGAACAAAGTAGACATCAGCCACCGTCATTTGCACGAGCACTTCTGCGAGAGCCCCAACCAAAGAGCTCAGTATATTGGCCGACATAAGATCAGCGACAGTGTGCATTTTCGCTTGCCAAACACAGAAGACACATTGAGCGATAGTGCTGAACACATAGACAGGTCGGCGACCGTACTTGAGAGCGAAGGGTATCAGAATAACGCCGCCAATACAAAGGGATCCGCACCCTGCGGCGTAGCTATCATTTAGGAGTTCAAAGCTGAAACCAAGTTCCTCATTTAGTGGGCCCCAGGTGACAGTGGCCACATCGATTCTGGTTGCTCAGCTCCGTGTCGTGTTTCAAGGGATAGCTCGCAAGACACTTACATTGCGAAAACCATTATGACATAGTAGGAGACTAAGCCGAAATTCAAATGTTTACGCCATGTTGGCCAATTCTACATGGCCTTGTTTAGTGTCGTGTTAGGATTGGGCTCTCAGCGAGGCTTACCAGGGGGTCGTTAGGATCATGGCTAGGCACGGGCTGCAAAATGATATCAGTCGTTCGACCATCTTGTGGAAGCTCTAAGTGGCATTAGCTACGGATGAGAGATCATAACATTTCATAAGTGTCAGGCTCACCTTCAAGCTGAACCGTTCCAGGTGGCCAGGATGGATCGGACGCGTGGGCTTGGTGCGACATCTCAAAGGAAGTGCTATATGCCGTCTCAGCTTTTTTTAGATTGCTACGGACAGCACCTCTACGACGAATCTGTAGAACATATGTCAACTAACATAACAGTAATTACTGGGGAGACAAGACACTGATATATGACAGCCTCTGACAGTAACGCATGTCGGACAGATCCGAGACAAGCAAGGACTCGGCAGATAGCCCTATCCTTCGGGAAGAGTACATTTGACATTACGCCTTAGTACGCTGTCAAACAATTGGCTTCCCATGCACATCGTTAGCACGGAGGAATTCCGCAGGAGGGGCAGAAGCAATCTTGCCCGAGAAGGGAAACTGTAAGCAAGGGCCAATGAGCTCTATCTTTACTGCTTAGTTTATCTCTTGGTGTCTCCGATGCGGGGGATTCAAGCAAGATAAGGAGATAGGGTTCCAAAATACGAACAATGGCCAATTTTTGCGCCTGCCAAGGCGAAAGGAACCGGAAGCTCTGAACTTTATCTGCCTGGCATCTCAAGTATAGGAATACAAATAAATAAACAGACTACCAGTTTTAATAACAGGCAGGCTGGAAAGCTCCTCGAGATTTACTTTCGGCGGGTTCATCCTATTTTTGCTGTACTCCTAGTGCAATGTCTTCAAGCCCGACCAGCCTTGCCCTCCGACATTAGAATGAGCATCCAAGTGACTAATCAAGCATGTGATTAGTGCATGTGGCAGGGGGTCAATATATGTTAGCAACACAGAGGTACCATGTGGATAGAAAGCCAGCAGTAAACTGTATGTCCATTTCCAATGTCTGTTGACCTTGTCCAACAGAGAAAGTGCATTAAGATCAATACTGCCATTGTCAGTCAGATTACTCCCAGTAGTCTGGAAGAGTAAGCACTGCCCTATGTCATTCTGCAGTATAGTCTTTCGGTGATAGAAAAGATCACTGAGCCAGAAAGGAAAATCTCCAAAAGGTCCTAGACTATAAACCATACCGATATATAACCTCCGCATATTTCATGACCTCGACAGATATCATAGATTCCGTGCAATGTTATCGGTCGCCACCGAGCCAGAGTGGAAGTGACACATTGACTTGTAGCGTAGGTAACGTTCAAGATAGTTGAATGACCTGAATGACATAGCGGCCATAGATCATGGTGTAGCACTATGGCCTACATTTAGATTACGTCTCTCATAAGAAAGGCGAAGGTGTTGTTCGGGTCCATCATCGAATTCGTCTCTGAGAACCCTTCACTACTTGGTGATTCCTCTTCATGTTCGATCGGCATAACCCACTGCGCAACTTGTAGGCTAAGTGTATGACCCTGCCGATTAAATTTGCAAGGTTTAGCACCTTTGCAGGTATCCTTCTGACAAAGGTGACCAAGGTAGCATTTAATCGAACGACAGCTGGCGCCCCTTAGGCAGATGTGCTGTCGCATGATATACATCAAGACAGTGAGACACGCCGGTTCAATTGGACTGTGGTCAAACTCGCAACTCAGGTTCCCACATTCCCCTCCAAGGTGGTGTTTGTTGCAGAGTTTGTGCCGTTTGGCACGTTGGTAATACACCTCCCATTCTTCTTGAGATGGCATGGGACAGTAGGTGTCAATCCGCTCCCCATCCTTGTTGATTGCGATAAATTCCTGGGATTTTGAGTTCACCCTGGGAAGAAACCGGGCATAGTACCCTTGTTCCCGGGGTTTGATGGTAAAACTCACCGGTTGAGTCGGAGTATCATATAGTGATTTCGGGAACTGTTGGTTGGGCATTATGTGGAGCTTTGTGCAGTCCTTGCCAAATCGGCAGATACCCTACTTACTCAGTTAGATGGCGTTTGCTAGATCATTTTACTAGGGTACCTTTTGGAAATGCCTGCAAATTGGTCTAGTAGCAGGAATCACATTGTTTCCACCCACAGGCGGCGACGTGGAGGTAGATGTGAATACGGCAGAGATCTCCTTCACTGGTAGGTCCAGCTTGTCATACTCAGGGTGGAAGGAGGCGGCTTTGATTAGGGTGATACGATCAGCCTTGCCACGGTAAGGGGTCAGTAAGGATAGATAGCCAGCATCGTGACAGCCAGCGAAGAAAATGTGCTTGCATTGGTTATTGTCCGCAAACAAGCGAAACATTTCTGAATAATGTGAGTGTACTGGTGCACGGGTAGTCAAGCTTGATCCTACCTCTGATCTTATAGTCGGCACCTTCCTTCTTGTCGCCGGCGTCAACATAATCGAACAAATCCTGAGAACGAGTAAAGCTGGATGCAAACGGTGAGAGGGACCGCGCCTCATTGCCAACTAGACCGGCGCGGGCCAAGGCTTTCGAAAGTCCTAGAATGTTGCTGTAAATGCGAACCATAATTCGGCATTGATCTGCTTGGCTTCCAAGTTGGTCACTAAGAAGCTCTTTGATAGAATCATTCAGAAGTTGAGCTGCTTTCGTCCCTCCTTCTGTCCCTTCCCTCATCAGGTGTTCCTTGAACTGGTTTCATTAGTACTAGTAGTCACCATTGCGGCTAGGGTATAGCTAACAAGGTAGCCATCACCATCCACCAATACCAGCACGAATGGATTACGCTCCTAGTTTCAATTAGAGCTTGTCTCTGTGTATGTAGTACTTCTTATGTCTGTTAATGCAAAGGATTACCTACTTGTCCTCTAGCTAGTTTCTTATACTTCTCTCGAGCTTCTTTCTCCTCCTCATAGTCGCTTTTCAGTCGGTTGTAGTTATCCAACAAAAGATGAAATTATTGCAAGAGGCTCTGGATATTCTCATGGTGCTGCTGGTTTTCACGCAAGACATGACCTAGATGATCATCGAGGGCCTGGATCTCGGCGTCGCCAAGCATGTTGTTCTCTGTGATCTAAGATGGAGGAAATGAACAAAGCTGATAAGCAACCATACGTGGCTGCACTCAAGGTGGGAATTACTACAGCCCACAACCATACAACACTGGACCAATGCAGGAAATACGAGGTATCTGACGACGGGGAGAGATGTGGATGGGAGAAGCCACTCAATAACAATGGAGAACTAGTTCTTTATGGGTTGATGCCCAGTTGCCTGAGGCGGTAAGCGGTGAATCGCGGCCCAGTTGTCAATGTGGGGTTGACAGTCACGTTAAGTTGTGGCTGGCCTCAGGCAGACGGGCGGACGCCTCGGCTGAATCTGTCCAATCGCCCAAGCCTCAACGGCATCCCCATTTATTCCATGCAGGCTCTCATCTTGCTTCAGTTCCCATATATTCAATAATCTATCATTTTACGTTCAGATCAATTCAACTTTTTTATACGCGTGAATGAAAGACAATGAACCAGTCACGGAGTCCTGGTGCTACAGTTGTAAGGCGTGCAAAAGTGAGCCTTGATTCACCCATGAGAGATCTAGACCTAGCATTACTCAGGAATCAAAGAAAATGCTTATCGTCGAATTCATCTACCTAGGCTTGCACTACCTGCAGACGTAAAAAAACAAAATGTGATGGCAGGCGCCCCACTTGTTCACCATGCAAAGCATTCAATCTGCCCTGTGCTTTCCAGGATGTTTTGAGGCAATCCAGTCGAACTAGCCGGTGAGTTCGAAAGCTACTTTAAGCTCAATGTCTTCTGATCCAATTCCTATCAGAGCATATGTTGAGGAGCTAGAGAAACGCGTTCAGGACATGGAAATGCGGTTACAAGACCGAACTCTAGATGCGTTGAGGCAAGAATCCTTATCAGAAAACAAGAGGAACTCTCCTGTCCAACCTTCGGCAGCCGCTGGCACCAGCACCAGCGCTAATTTTGAACCCAACGCTATCGAGAGTCAGTCCTATCTCACATCGCCTTCTAGGTCCCCGCTAGGGGAAGATAATGCTCAGCCAAGTACGGACAGTGAAGCTATCCAGGCTCCCTACGTCATCAACGCCGAGGGAACAAAGATGCGATTTTTCGGTAAGCATAACCCCATGCGTCAACGTGAATTTGGGTTGACTTCATCTAAGGAGCATCTTCTGGGTTCTCAATGACTTCACCCCAAACCCTAAATGGGCTAGAAGGCGAAAAACGATCTGGAGCGTGGATGGCCACTAGTCAAAAAACAGCCCCTAGGTGGCAATTGTCCAGTTGGTATCCTCGCATTCTGCAGGGCGATCCTGGGCAGCGCGCTTTCCAGCAATTGCCTCCCAGACCAATCACACTACAGCTTGTAAGCGAGTACTTTGGTAGCTTCAATAGAGCAATCCCGCTGTTCGATGAATCTACGTTTACGAGATTAGTGGATAAACAGTTTGGTTGGAGTCCCGATGAAAGTCCCTCGTGGTGGGCATCCCTGAATGTTGTGCTTGCATCTGCCTACAGGGAAAGGGCACAAAGGTTACCTGATGGAAGTGAAGAATGGCAGAAGTCAATGGGACACATCAGGAATGCTCTAAACGTGATTGTAGAATTTTTCATGCGTGCTGCGGACTTACTTGCTGTTCAAGCAATGTTGGGACTCGCACTTCTCTTCCAAAATACACCAAATCCTCAGCCGCTCTTCATGTTTGCGGCAGCGGCAATGCGACTTTCACAGTCTATTGGGCTACATCGCAATCAGACATTGGGACTATCTCCATCGCAGATTGAGGAGCGGCGGAGAACATTTTGGATTGCATTCATCCTCGATGCGGAAATCTCTCATCGAACCGGGCGGCCACCGGTGCAGGATGTGAACGATTTCGACACCCCACTACCTTCCAACAAGCCTCAAGACGGACTAGGAATTGTAAATGTTTGTGGTGCCCACCTTGACTACTTCCACCTGTTGGCACAGTTTTCGTTGATCCAACGACGCCTGTACGACCGTCTTTATATCACCAACGTCAAGACGAAGACCGCCCGAGATCTTATCCGAGACTTAAACACTAGTGAGCATGATCTTCTCGAATGGCGGACCTCTTTTGAAAAGCATTACGATCCAGAAATGGCGTTCTCGAATACATCTGATTATCATCTTCAGCATGTCCTCAGATTAGACCTCGCCTATCATTGCTGCTATGCCAAGCTTTACCAACTCTGTATTCATGCTCGACGATCAATGGCCCGAGCTGCAAAGGACTTGGAAGATTTCGCAGCTTTGGGTAAGGAAGTAGATGATATGCTTGTGAGGTCTTTGGAATGTGCGAGGTCTGCAGTTCAACTGATAAAACATGGTAGTGTATTTGGGTCCTGCTTCATATGGTATGTGTATCTGAGCTACTCATATATGGTAACTCCAGTCTTGTGCTAACCTTGAAAGGGGTGTCATTTACTTCCCTGCTGCTGCATCAATGACCTTGTTATCGAACTTGCTGGGGAGTAGCTCTCATCAACATTCCGTGGCTGATCTTGCCATGGCTCAGGAAACCATAAACTTGCTTTCTAAATTATCATCTGAAGAGCCAGGCACATATGTTGATCACATCCTCGAGGTGTGTACCGATCTAAAAAGTGCAGCCAAGCAGGCCATAAGTCGAGCCGAGCAAAACATCTCCCAGCGATCGATGGGGAATATCAGCAACACTCAGTCTTCTAGAAACAAAACCGGCGATCCGGTAAATGGATTTTCTGAACTGGCTAGTCCAGGTTTAGTTGCACCTTCATCCGGGGATGCGGATCCGACCGGAAGTAGTACTATTTTACAAAACTATGACATGCCCTCGGTGGATCCAACCTTTGACTTGGCCATGAATTTTCAATGGCCTATTGCCCCTTTCTGGAACTGGGATGACATGGTGTCTAGCACATCCGATGGTGGAATAGACAATGGACGATTATTATAGGTGTCTTCAGCATGATTCTCGGAAACGGTCTATCCACGCCTACGCAGACCCTCGACTCTCGGAATGCGAGCATAAAGGATGAGCGATTTACCTTCTACAAACGATGACAGTCCCCCAACTATATCTTGGTAGGGATGTAAATAATATAACATGAATCTAATGGTCTAATTCAATACAACAATAGTCTTCGTTCCTTGCAACTTCGGGGCCGCTCTCTAATGCCAGCTGATGTTCCTGTCATGGTAGCAATTGGGTACAGGGGGACTGGTCCACCGGGGAGTTACTGCGTCTTCACCAAGCCTGACAATTGGCTTGAGCAAGGTTTGTCGTCCCCACGGCCCTTGATCAAATGTGGTCATCAATGGTGAATCCTCATCCAGGTACCCAGGCCGGCCCTTTTTCCAACCAGCGATGACTTGCAACAGAATTTCAGTAACAAACTGGTCGGGAGTTGAGGGCACAAACCCAAACTTCTTGGCCGTGTTGTGAACCACGTCTAGGGGGTACAGTCCGACTTCCTCTTCCAGTGCTATGTTGTCTGCGGCAACCAAAGAACTAACAACGTGATAAGAGCCTCCTTTGACTGCCCGGTCACGAATAGCCATCATGGCTGCAAGAGCACCCACTACGCCCGTAGTCATGTCTGACACTGGCAGTGGAGGTAAAACGCATTTCTCGTCCGCATATCCCAACGACCTACCCATAACATAGGAAGAACCGGAGGCAGCATCGCCGATTTGCTGCCAGCCTGGGCGCTCAGCAAAGGGGCCGTCCGGACCATAGCAGTTCTCATCCACATAGACAATACCCTTTCCTCTGTTCGCAGCCAATTCTAGCATATCCCGGAGTCCAAGACCCTTTCTGCCCAAGGACCCATACCGGAATCCCTGAATGAACACGTCCACATCTGCGATAAGCTCTCGAAGACGGGTCATGTCCTCAGGCTTAGTAATGTCCAGGTCGATGGTACGCTTTCCTGCATTCAGGACAAGTTGCAAGAGCTTTCATCATATAAGCAAGCATTCTGGTTTATCCAGTAAAGGGAATAAGGCAGCTTACATTCAGATCAGGCAGTTTACTACAGTTGACGCGGATGACGTCCGCACCAAAGGAGGCAAGAGTCACACCGATAGTTGGGCCCGCGATAATGCGTACCATCTCCAGCACCTTGATCCCAGCCAGTGGTCTCTGGTCGCCAGGAACCTTGGGTAAGGGCTGCTGGGGTGTAGGAGCTGCATACGTTTCGTGTGTATAGTTCACATATGGATGCCTGGCGAGCTTCTTTCCCATTTCCGTGTTTCGCCATGATTCCGGCTTATAGCATATGCTTCCACAAAGGCCATGGCGTACGTTGTGCATCTCAAGCTCATCCGGACTCCACTGACGGACATGTTTTTGGATGTAGTCGTAATACTCGTTCGGTGTATTGAAGGCGACGTTTGTGTCGATTCCCATTGTTTCCAGAACTCGGTTAGCATTGAGAGAGCCATGAAGTTGATACCATACGTTCGGGTCCTTGGTTTGGTAGATCGCCGTTGTCCTGCTTGCGAGACCTTCGCCGAAGCCTTGTTGAAAGTCACGGTCAAAGAGGGTGTTCAACTTTCCCGACCGCGCTATAGCCGAGATGTCAGATCCATTGATATGCGTGGTCGCCACCGAACCAAGCCATATTCCTGCCTGGTCAGTGTTGACGGTAACACTGCTCTCGGCCACTGGTGTACTATCGCGAAGTTCCAATAATTCGTTCCCTACCACACCACACATTGCATGCAGAGCAGCAGCAACAATAGGTGCTTTGATAGGACCAGGGATCATGGGGTCCGGCTGTCCCTCGAAATGGACGGTATCCCATACTTCTTTGTTTTGGGTAAATCCAGGCGTCTTCGAGGCTATAAACTCGAATACTCGGCGAGTGTCCTCGGGGACGGGGAGAACATTCTTATCGATGAAGGTCCCAGGGCCGTATACATCTGTTCCTGGGGTGGTCTCGTGAGAAAAGGCCATAGTGGATATGTGGTTGGGATGCACGCAACAAGTAAACTGTACAATGGATAATAGTCACAGGTGGCTACCTTCCAAGGACACGCGTTTCTCACTTTATATCATCAACTAGCACACTAAATTGCCTAGATAACCTTCGGAAACAACACCCTCGGTGCCGAGGGGGCTCCACTATTGGTCCACGGAATAATTCTTGCATTGGGTATGACACTGGACGTGGTGACGAAGCCTGCCGGAACATCTGTCACAGTAAGCCGAGTAACCGTGCGCTCTTTGTCTGTAACATCCATTCTATTAGTCAAGGAAGCTTCCTGGACCCTCCGAAGCAAAATATTTGTGACGATCAGTTTGACGCTATAGATGTGGAACTCCGCGCCTCCGCGGCGCCGGTGCAAGAACCCCGTGGCCCGTGGCGCAGATTTGCCGAGAATCATAACTTCAACCAACCAAGCATAGAGCATGATCAGCGGTGGATAATCAATGCGGGGAAATGCTTCATAATAAGCTTCCATTAGTCGAATGAGCCGCTTAAATCCGGGGGAGTCCTGGGAAGTCGCCCAAGTAGTGATGGAATATATAGCACGATGCCCGAGCAAGCCCACAGCTGGACGATCCATTACTCACAACAGCTAGAAGACCAAGTCATATTGTTCATATCGCACGGATAGCTACATTCACTGAAAGATGCTGCGTGATCCTGAAAGTAGACCTGTGAAAGTGGCCAACTGCTCTGGCTACCATGGTCTGTTCATCGACTCTTAGTTAAGCTTCTAGACGCTGACTGCTTGAATAACTAGGCGATCCAGCATATGAGATGTACCGCCAGGCGACATTGGGCGACGTCGACTTCATCACTGGTGACTACCTTGCGGGTACGCCTCTCACTATCCATCAGAGAGCCCTGTCACAGACTAATGTGCGAACAGAAGTCAACTTAGCCAACAATGCCGAGGCTTGGCGTGCAGGCAAACATCCGGGCTACGAGGAAACGGCTTGGCAGGGACTACAGCAAACAATCGACGTGATTGCGGAAAAGGGTATCCGTGTTGTAATCAACGGGGGTGCTTTAGATCCTAGAGCACTTGCGTTGAAAGTCGAAGCTCTAGTAAGTGGTCACTGCGATCATCAAGCACGGGGCCCAACTAAATTGATTGCTGCAGACAGCTGAGAAAAACCTTGACATATGTGTGGCTTATGTATCAGGGGATGACCTATACCCTCAAGTCGGGCCTAATATGCCAACCAATAAAGAGGAACTGCAGCATTTGGATTCTGGAAACTCCTCCATTGTCCCATCGAGGTTGACATATGCGTTTATGAATACAACTGATGGAAGCCCGATTCCCATGACATCGGCCCATGCATACCTTGGGGCCCGTGGTATCGTCGAAGGCCTGAGGCGAGGCGCACAGATTATCATTTGCGGCCGTGTTGCTGACGCCAGTCCCGTGATAGCAGCGGCCTGGTTCTGGTACGACTGGAGCGAAACGGACTACGATAGACTTGCTGGAGCACTCATTGCAGGCCATCTAATTGAATGTTCGGCATACGTCACTGGGGCAAACTTTGCTGGCTTTGATAAATATCCGGTCGAAGATCTCATTGCTCCTGGATTTCCTATTGCCGAGATCGAGAGAGACGGTACCTGCGTCATCACCAAACACCCGGGAACCCAAGGTGTGGTGAACACTGACACAGTGAAATGCCAATTCCTGTATGAGTTGCAGGGTAACGTCTACCTAAATAGTGATGTTAGTGCTCATATTGGTGATGTTATTGTTGAGGATGCTGGCAAGGACAGGTATTGGTTAACAACACCCCGTTTTACACAAGCTCTAACGATAGACAGAGTCCGTGTATCTGGTATCAGAGGGTCACCACCTCCTCCCACTACCAAGCTCGCAGTTTTCTACCCTGGAGGTTATGAGGCCCAACTACTTTATAATGCAACCGGATATGCTACTGCTCGGAAGTGGGACCTCCTCGAGAAGCAACTCCGTCATTTCCTCCCTGAAAGTGCCGCAAATGACCTGGAAACACTCGAATTCCAGAGGTAAGCACACTTCAAGCCACAATCCCCGATCAAACATACCTCAGCGAGAACAAATGCCTAACTCAGTCCTAGAGTCGGAGTTCCCGACCCAAATCCCTCCTCTCAGCTAAAGAGCACCACATATATGCGCATCTTCATCGCAGCCCGCACAGCACAAGCGGTAACAACCGTCGCAAAGGCAATGCGCCATATCTCACTGAAACACTTCTCCGGTATATATCTCATATCCCATCAAATACAGAAGCAACGCCACTAATAAACAGTCAGGTTTCCACGCATCCCCTGACGCGCGCACCGCCGTCCCACGCCCATTCCTTGCATACTATCCTGCCATAATCAACCAGTCCGACATCAACGAAAAGATCAATATTCTCGACGGCCAATCCAAAACCGCATCTTTCGACATCCCACGCCCAAGCCAATACGAACTCCTGAAGCCACGTGAGAGCTACGATCCAGTAACACCAACCATATACAACGGTCCTACGAAGGACATTCGTCTCGGCGACATCGCACTGGCTCGGTCCGGCGACAAAGGCGCAAACCTCAACTTTGGCATCTTCGTCTCCAACCCGGCTCATTGGGAGTGGCTCCGGTCGTCCATGACCATCTCGCGGATGCGGGACCTCCTCGGCGATGATTGGGATGACTCGTTCTCGATCGAGAGGGTGGAGTTCCCACAGATCCACGCGGTGCATTTTGTCATCTACGGTATTCTGGGCCGCGGAGTCAGTAGCTCCAGCCGGCTAGACGGCTATGGGAAGGGATTCGCGGATTATATCCGGGACAAAGTGGTTTCAGTTCCTGTTCAGTTCGACCTGAACCTATCAACAAAACTATAAGTATGTACAAAGTACGCACATAGAATAAACGCCAGTATCTTCCTTCCACAGTACCATACTTAATCCAAGAATAATAAATACTACCACCCATACCTAAGAATCCT